TAAGATCAATGTGTTATAAAAATCTTCTTTCATGCTGTCTTGTTTAGTAATTGGAGATTCACAGAGAGGCTTTTCTTTACCTGTAATCAGATTTTAATAGAGGGGATTAAAGCAGATACCTGCTAACTGCTAGTTCTGATGTTTCATGTGTTGAACTGGTTCTTAATGTTATTGCATAGCTGGTGCTCTAGGGCTTTGATCTGCAAAGAAAAGTACTACTGGTGTGGTTTATGCCAGACTTAGCCTTAAATGCCTGACTAAATAAACTCAATGTATTCTCGAAGGTCGTTAAAGAGGTGATTGTGTCTTTCCTTTTGGAAGGGTAAATTCTTCTTTGAGGCTTTGCACAAACTTTTGCACAACTGTTAGTGAATTTGTAGGTCCACTCTAGAAAGTGAAAATGATTAATCTCTCAGGAGAGGTGTGGCCTTTGACTGAGGGTATCTTTTCTTTTGAAGTTGATGTAATTAAGTCAGAATCAGAGAATTATGTGTCCTTTGAAGTACCCTCGTTAACCTTGTTGCTGCTCTGTTAGACTCTAGAAGATGGCAGAAGTCCCATAAAACTTCCTGGGAGAATTGTTCTGTCATTTTTTTTGTCTAATATACATAAGATTTTGTTCCTGTGGGCGTAAAGGAAAAAAATCATGCTGCTCTTTGGCAGTTCATATGGGTTCTGACCATATGCCTGTGTGGAGTATGGGTTTGGTTTTGGTTTTTTTTTTTATTTAAGAATACCTTTAGCAGCTATTTAGTACAGTCTTAATTTCAGCCTACCAAAATATTGGTTACTTTGGTGTCTCAGATGTCAGTATTGAGAATCGTCACCTGATAAGATTGCTAGTACCGAAGTTCATAACATTCAGTATGATGTCTTTGGCCAGTATTATTCAAAAACACAGTAATTTCAGAAAACTTTACATAAAGATAACTCTTCTAATCTTTACTTCCTCTGCTGTTTCTTGCCTCAGCCTGTTACAGGGCTTGAGAGACCACTTTGTCTCATTCTGTTGACATAATTAGCCACACCTTCACCAGAGCTGTCTTATTTATGAGGGGGGGGCTCAAATCTTGACCTTACGCTTAGATTTTCTTTTATCATATGAAGATGCAAATTGGCATTTGGAGCTTGTTGCTATAGCTACAATATATAAATTACTTGCTAATGTGAATCCTTGAATTCTCTAGTGCATTCTCTAGTCATTCACTTTTTGGATGCCACCATATAGAGAAGATGTGTATCCTATACAAAATGTGTTCTGTCATGGCTGGCCAGTCTGCCAAAACTGAGAACCTAACTGTCCATGTAAGTCAACATCTCTCCCTGGCTTAGCTGAACAGGATACTTCAAGTGGAAGAGCAAGAGAATCCAACTTAGAGTGCTCATCCAGTGAAGACAAGAATCAACACCCACCGGATTGTATATCGTAAGCTTAAAGGAGAACAGCAGCTTATTTAGATAATCCTTGACAACCTTATCTAGGATGTTAGATGTGTTTCACATCACTGTCTAGCCAAGTAAAAGGCTTATTGTTGCAGCTGTAACAACTACTGTCTTTGGCACCAGTGTACTACCAATTTGGATCATGAGGGTTCAAGCATTTTTCTGACTTTCCCATCTTATAGATGATTTTGTATGCACTTTGTATCTTGGAGACTTAATTAAGCACATAAATGGCAGCTGGTGTAGAAAAGATTGAAATTTTGTATCTTTAAGTTCTATTAAAAGTTGGTATTTCCATGCCTAAAGGCACTTTCTCTTTGCAGAGGTGTAACTATAAGGATATTCTTGTGAGTTTTATAACAGCTCATCTTTAAGCTGAATAATTTGTGTGTAGGGGTAAGGTTTTAGGGGTTTTTTTAGTTGACCTCTAAAATTTCCGCTGAAACTCTTTAGTCTTCCAGCATGAAACTCCCCCTGAAAAAGAATTAATTTATTGCTTCCGTGGATGCAGATCGAGCTCTAGACCAGTGGTCTCCAAACCCTTTTGATTATGCACCCCATCAGTAAAAAACCAAAACTGATCATGCATCACCAATATCTGTGTGTGTATTTATAAATTATATACATGTACTACTGTATTAATCTATTATGTACATTATAAAATATACCCCAAAATGGAAATTAAAAATGAGATAAAGATTAAATAAACACTATTTTCACAGTGCAAAAAATACTTCCTTCTCACCTCAATGGATTCTCTTGCACACCTCTCCAGGTTTTCACACCCCACTTTGGAGACCACTGCTCTTCCTATGGGGAGATGCCACAGCCAATATATACATGGGAGATCTAAAGGCCAGAGAGAAATCATCTATGAGGAGTCCTGCAAGTTTTCTGACATACGTGTGTTAGAGATGGCATTTAAAGCAGGTGCTTGTGCCAGGTTGTGATTCCTATATATGAAATGGATTGACTTGTCTTCCCTTCCTACTTCTATACGTCTTGGACTGGGAGTAGGAAAGGACAAATGAAGTTTTATAACAGTCAGTGGTCTGTCTTACAGTGGCTTTTCACACCTGTGAAACAACTGGATATTTGACCTTGTTTATTGCAAAACCTAGGAGTAGTTGCTTTTTGTTGTTTTTCTAACTTACTGGATATCTTTATTCTGTTAATTTGGACTACAGTGTTCTGATGCTTGATTTTGAATGCTGTTGATACTTTTTTTCAGCACTAGTATTCAAATCCACGTGGTCTGTGTTTGGGACATCTTTGTTTGCAGACTTTTTACTAGGTACTCCCCTATAAATGAGCTTTCGTTGCCTTTAAGGGAAACTTAGAAACTTGGTGTTTGGGTGTTGGGGTTTTTTTTCCTTCCAAAACTTCATTGTCCGGCAGGAATTTATTTCACAACCAGCTTAGGAGTGAACAAAGGGATCTGTGGTATATTCTTTAAAAAGAAAAAAAAAAATCCTATAGTATAAGCCAGTGAGCCAAATAATATTTATAAGCTTAAGGAAGGGGAGCTTTGTTGGACTGTCCTAATCTTAAGACATGATGATTCTAAATTTTGTTTTGAATGTGAACTTTGTGGCTTTACTGTGTGCTGTCCCAGGAGTTAGCTTGCTTGTCCTTCTCCTTTACCCTCTTATTTACCATGTCTTAGCATGAGTCAGACATTAAAGGAGTTTTTGAAGCCTGTTTTGGGGTAGTGATTGCATGGCTTTTACGTGGTTGGTTTCCTAAACTTATGCATCCCAGTCCTTATGTATCTGCAAACATCGTGTTATTTAAATGCCAGTTGTTTTTAAATTGACAGGAAGTGGCAAGGTATGAGTAAGAATACGGATAGAGCTTAACTTCCTAGATAAGCTAAGTATATGCTGCTTCCTTACACACTTTTCAGACCAGTGTGGCTGTTTGTATGCTGTTACTGTGATCTCGATGATTTTTTTTTTTTAATTGGAACACAGTTGTTAACATATCCCCACCCATGTTTTGTACTGAAATTCAGCAAAAGAGAAGTTACATCACAGTACTGTTTACCAGTAAAGTTGTTGCAGATAGTTGGACCTTCAGTTAGTCATATTAGAATTTTAGGTTTTAAGTTATAAATTATTGTACAGTGTTGATAGTCCACATAGCTAAAGCTGTGGTGGACTTTGTTTAGAAGTACAGTTTGTTGCTGTTCTGAAAATCATAGATAGAAGTAAAGCTAACTTTTTCCTGATGTCCAACATGCTTCAGAAGCCATAGCCATATTTCAGGGTCAGTAACAGCAGTTGCAGAGTTTTTTTTCATTGTGCTACTTGCTGCTACTTTGAAGCCAGAACCTTCAGTAGTGTGAGAACCAGGTCCTGACCTCTGAGACCACAGAATGTACTTTTTTAGTTAAAACGCCTGAAGTTAAACACGTGTTGCTTTTGACTTTCAGTAGGGTATGTTATGAGAAGAATTGAATATTGCATTGATAGGAGAGGAGAACTCTGAGGTTGTTTTGTTATTTGGCTAGTAGTATAAAACTGATAATACAGAACATCAAATGCAGAATAAGATTTCCTTCTGACTGTGTCCTCTTCTATTCTTAGAAGGGAGGTAATGCCTGGAAGATATATGTCAAGCTCTCTATTCTGTGAGCTTTCTAGAGATTTGAGGCAAGAGTGAGGGAACTGCAGGGGCTCAGTAGAGAAGTATGAATTGGTGCTGCAGCTGAAATTCTTTTGATTGTTTTTTCTGTCGAGATGCAGGACTTCAGGTATGAAGCTAAATTTAGCCACTCCCTAAAATAGTAACATTACTTGCACATACTAACAAGAAGTCACTTATCACATAGCTTGTCAGTATTTGGTTTCCAGTAACTTCTTGTCATTACTGAAGTGCAGCAAATCAGTTTATCCTTAGTTGCACAACCCAAGGTGAAGAAACAAAGCTGATTAGGCACTCACTAAATTAAATTTTGTTTACGCCTTAAGAGATGTCTCAATCCGCTAGTATGAGTGGCATTAGAATACAGTCAACCAAATCAGGACACAGGAAGTTGTATTCAGACTTTTTTGTGTCATGTAGAATTGGCAGGTGTTATTTATAAAACATAATAGACAGTTTCATAATTGAGTTTTAAGTTAGCAATCAGTACAGACCATCTATAATAGTTATGATGCTGACTTATTTCTATGCATCTGGTTTCTCAGTGTGCAAAACATCAGTATGTGTAGAAGCAGGTAAAGTAACTTAACCAGATAACTAGGATCCCAGTTGAGGGGAAGGAGAAGGAAAATGAACCAATGTGAGCATTTTTTTAGAAGCTCTAATTTTTTTTTTTTTTAATCACATGAGTTACCTAGTACACTTAAGATGCATAGTGGAAGGACGGACCAAGGTTGTCTTACAGTCTTAAATGCGCAGATGAGGGAAAGGAAATCAAGCAACTTAATTTTCATTTTCCCTGGGCAATTACTTAAATGTTTGGATGGAACATTCTTCAGCATATTTGAAGGTGTTGGATTTTTTTCAAGCCGCTCTTGGTGTGTTAGCTCTAAAATTTTGCTTATTAGATTATGTTTACATTGAAGGGTGAAGATGTCAACAGGACACTTGAAGGTGGGAGGAAGCCTCTTCACTACGCAGCAGACTGTGGACAGCTTGAGATTCTGGAATTTCTGCTGTTGAAAGGAGCTGATATTAATGTATGTACATCAATTTGCAAACAGATGTTAGGGTGTTAGTGTCTTCCCCCACCCCAGGATTGGTATAAGTGCCTAATTGGTTACTGAAAGACTTGCATCAAATTGTTTAGTTTCATCTATTTAAAAATATTTGAGAGGTGGCCTCCTAGAGGTTAGAAGCTTAAAATTACTTTTATTAAATGTTTTTATTCTTTTTGGAGACACTAGGAAAAGTTGTTTGTAGCTATAAAAAGTTAAATTTAATTTGACCATGATTAGAAAAAAAATCCAGTAATTGCATCTAAAGAAAGTTTGCATGAAATACATATTACATTTGTTGGAAGGGACTTCAGAAAACAGTGCAATGCGTCCTTGGCCAGGGCAAGATCAACTTTGTTGAAATTGGTGTGCTTCTCTTTTGCAGACATTCTTACTTGTACAAACTTAGTCATTTTGCTGTAGCTTGAAATGCACGCTTTTTGTCATGAAAAGACTTGGCTGGGCTGTATTGGCACTTCAAAACAGTGTAGTTCTCCATAAAAAAGTGACGTTTCTAAATACTTTAACCATACACCCCAAATGCTGTGCTTTAGAATACTTGCCTGAAAGTTAATGTACAACATATCTTAGGACTAAAGTCCTTAACAAAATAGCTTGGATTTTTTCCTTGATATCTGGAAAGATTATCTCTTCCCCAGGAGTTCTAACCGGAGAGGAGGAAAAAATGGACGAAAAAATAAGAACATTTCAGCTGCTCCATTTCTTATTCTTTCCAGAACTATAGTTTATAGAGGATAAAATAGTCCAAACAACGTTTCAGCCAAAACTGGTTTCTGAAGTCAGGCTGGCTGAGAAATGGGAGAATTAGGAGTACTGTTTTTAAAATGGGCAAAATTTGTCAGCTGAAACCCTTCAATTTCTGTCACTGGCCTAAAAAAATAGACAAACTTTGGGATATTTAGAAGTCTTATGGAAGAAATATCTTGCTGTTTCCTGACTGGTTTTTAAACAATGACTTTTCTTTTTAAAAAGGAGAGTAAAAAATTCTGAGGGAATGTATTTCTGGATAATATTCCTAAATCCTTACCTTCACTCTACGGTGGACAAAACAAAATTTAAAAGTTAAATGAAACTTTTTAATGGTCTGTGAAATTGTGCTTCAAATAACTGTGTCTGAATTTACAGGCTCCAGACAAACATAATATCACACCACTCCTATCAGCAGTCTATGAGGGCCATGTTTCCTGTGTGAAATTGCTTCTGTCAAAGGTGAGATACACTTTGCTAATGGATAACTTGTCCTAAACATTTGTATTACTATGATTTTTTTTTCAGTAAGATTACGATGCTCTATATAAATTCAGAACATCAAACAAATGCTGTTTGTGTTGCTAAACCAGAGAGGTTACTCTGATTATGGAGAAGATAGTTGAAGCAGAAAGTTCCAGGACTTTGGCAGTGTAGCAGAAGTCATAGTGACCACTAAGAGTACTGTGAGCTCCAGCTAGAGAGCAGTTAACAGTAAATCGGGCAAGCAAAAAAAAAAAAAAAAAATGCATTCCATAAGTAGACAGGGAGGAGTGGGATTTAGCTTTGGCAGCTGCTTAAGCGTTTCATGTGATGGAATCTCCACTGTGAAGTTGCTCAGAGGTGTGGTTTCCCTCTGCTTTTGCCAGGTGACTGAAAACCCATCTGGGTTGGCAGAGTGAGGGGAAGTAGGGAGACAAGATTTCTCTGTCATAGAGCTTGTAAATTTTGTCCTGGGGAGAATAAGCTTAATCTGTTTCTGTTCTCCCTTTGATTCATATTACAAAGGTGATCCATTTTACAAAGCAGTAGTTAATTCAAGCAATGTTTTATCTCCATTCATATGTGCTCCTTCTTGTTACACCTCACTTTGAAAAGAGGTGGTTAACAGTGCATTTTCAGTATATGAACCTGTTTAAATCATTTGGCAAAAGGATTTCATGCTGTGTAATGTCTTCATATCCCACTTCCAAGGTAAAATGGTTTTCCTTAACTGTCATAATGTTGTATGAATTTCACTTTTCACTTTTTTGATCCTGTCTAATGTTAGTTATGCCTTTCTGTGAAGAAATGCTGTGACTGTTAATTTAGAATTTAGGATTCAAATGGTGCATCTGACTTGCTTAAATTTGTTGTGAGGACTGATCCTTCATTTAGGATCATTATATACATGTTACAAAAAAAAGAAGTATCCTTTATCCCATGTTGTATTTCTTTCTACTTCTGTTTTGAAGTGTTTAGCACTCTAAAGAAGCTGCTCAAATAAGATACCTCAAAACTTGAGTTTACACATGAATTGTCTAGCAGCTAGTAAGGGTTGTGTATTCATTGTACTCCCTGTCAGTGAGGGCATTAAGGTCCTTCGTGAACCAGCTATTTTTCATGCAGCTTGTGAGAGTGTATTGATCTCTGTACTTGGTACAATTTGAATGGAATTGGTTAAGTTCAACAGTCATAAAGATGAGGCAATCTTACAAAGTTATGCAGAATGTTATAACAAAGTGAACTTGGACTAGGAGATGAGGTTAGAAAAATGTTACTGCAACTGGATAGTTTGGAAAAGCTTGTATTATTCTCGGATTTCTTCATTCAGAGCTAAATGTTGTACCACATCTGCTTGCCCATTCACATGGGCTAGCTGATGAAATATTTATGAACTGGAACTTTGCTCATCAGCTCATTCTGTTTGAAGTGGATCTTATATTAAGAGGTGGTTCTTTCTTTAGTACAGTTATCTTATTACCCTTTTTTGAACATCTGTTGTCACACCTTGTTTGTAACATAGCCTGATTTCATATGTTCTTTGATAGCAGATACCTGGGAGATCAGGTTGTTCAATGGTTGTTGAAAGTTCTAAAAATTACTGACTGTTTAATGTTCTTCCTAGTTATTTTTGGAGTGGGGTATATTTTATTATTCCTCCAAATGCAGGACAGATATTGAATGTCTGATGTTAGTGTATGTAAGTAGTGAAACTGCAAATGATAGACCAAATATTTAAGATCTTTCTTCAAAGCTGTTCTTTGTTGCTCTTGTAAATACTACATCTACTTACTGCTAAGAAGCTTCATTATTTTACATGTACCTACTTTCAGCTGCCTTTGTTTACCCTGTTAATTGATCTCTTGCATACATGGCCTCTGTCATAGAATATCCCTTAAGCTGTTGGACTAGAAGTCCATAACCTCCTTAACATGTTTTTCAACAGGAAAACAAAAATAATTAATATTTTTTGTACTTTCACAAGTTTTGAGAACCAATGAACAGTGGTGCATATCTCCTTAGTCTGTTTGCATGCCACAAATATAAAAAGTTAGCAGTTTGATCAAGTTAAAATTATGTAAGGAATAAGAGATTGTTCTTCTTTGCCTGCTAAGATTAGATTTAATATAAATAATTCTATGTTGGATGCAGCTGTTGATTTGGAAATTAAATTGTTTTAAGCTAACATTCTGTACTGCCTTCTGCAGTACATGAATTGTGGGGATGTTTATAAACCTTTCATGTGAGACTTTTGAGCTATTGAGAGGAGAAGGGGTGTTCCAAGAAATGTTTCAGACATTAATAGGACATAAAATGCAAAAAAATGTACCTTAATAAAAGTACCAAATGTGAAAAAGGTTAGCTTAGTCAAGGTGACCTTCAGGACTTTTGTAAACCTTCTGTTACTATAGAAGATTCATTCATGTGATGGAAGTAAGCTGGTTACTCTTTCTTGTAGTGTGACCACAGAGCATTCTTTAAAAAATCTTCCACTGAAAGCATTTAAAAGCATTAAAAGTATTTGGGCATAATTCACTTTCAGAGGATAATAAATGCATATAAATAGTAGAAACACTGGATCAAGACTCTAAGCTCTTAAACTAACTAGAATTATTAGAGTGGCCCCTTGATCTTAAGCTGAAGTAGCCTGGGCTGCTGCAAACCTGTGCTTTCTGTTGTTGATACTGGTGATCATGCAGTTGCACAGTGAAACACAGACAAGCTTCTTCTAAGCTCATATTAGAAACAGTTTACACTCGTAAGAGCTTAACTTGAAAAGTAGTGGGGGACCTATGCTGGCTTTTAACAGTTCAGTCTCTGCAAAAATTTTTAATGTGCATGTCACGTGACTAATACAATTTTCTGTAGGTAATGCTAATAGCTGAAGCCATTACACCAACTGTTGTCCCTTAAAAAGCAGTAATTTGTTTTATGGAATTTCAAATAGCTTTCAACAAGGTTTTTCTATGATAAAGCACAGTTTGTTACTCTTGTTACTCCTCAGAAAGGACTGTTTTGGGGTTCTTAGCTAATGCTTATCACACATGGAAGTTGAATGGTGTGATGACACTGTGTCTGAAATATAAATTACTTTTTGGAGTAGTGGATGCTGGTGGTTTATCTGGGAATCACTGGCAGCCTGTATACAGCTGAACCGGTGGAATCATAGAATCGTTTAAGTTGGAAAAGACCCTTAAGATCATCAAGTTCAACTGATAACCTAAGACTTCCAAGTCCACCACTAAACCATGTCCCTAAGCACCATGTCTACATGTCTTTTAAATACTTCCGGGGATGGGGACTCAACCACTTCCCTGGGCAGCCTGTTCCAATGCTTGACAACCCTCTCAGTGAAGAAATTTTTCCTAATATCCAATCTAAACCTCCCCTGGTGCAACTTGAGGCTGTTTCCTCTTGTCCTATCACTTTTTACCTGGGAAAAGAGACTGATGCCTACCTTGCAACAACCTCCTTTCAGGTAGCTGTAGAGAGCAGTAAGGTGTCCCCTGAGCCTCCTTTTCTCTGGGCTAAACAATCCCAATTCTCTCAGCTGCTCCTCATAGGACTTGTTCTCTAGACCCTTCACCAGCTTTGTTGCTCTTTGCTGGGTGTGCTCCAGCACCTGTGATGACTTTACACAGATCTGCATTTCAAATGTGGTGGAATATTTAAGGTCATAAAAAGAGAGTTGAGGATTAGGATTTTTTAGGCATATAGTTATGACGTCTGGGCTACAAAGCTTTTAATAATCCATTGAAATCTAGCTGATGTGATGTATCAAACTGTCCTTCATATACATTGCTCTTTTACTGGTAAGTTGGGGGAAAATTTCCAAGGTTAGCATAGGGTGCTAGGATGACTTGAAATAGTTCTAATTCTGTTCCTTATCTCCCTTTTCAGCATAAGATTTCAGAATGGACAGTGTAAAGACAAGTTCAAAAATATTTTTTGTTGGTCTGGAGATAAGATGCTTCTTTTGTCCTCAGAAGCTCAGTTATTAATTATAAAGCTGGTGGACCAATTTGGGTTTTTCCTTATATTAAAGTAAGAATTGTTGTGCTAATTAAATGCATTTATTGGACACATGGGTAATGCTAACTTTATTTTCTTATGGAAAACTGAACTGTTACACTACATTTGGAGTGACTGCAGGAGGAACAAAATTAAGATGTTGCTCTTAGTCTTAAACAACTAGCTCTTTGTCCTTTTGATGTCTTCTGAGAAGTGGTAGAAAGCCTATTCTAACTTTCAAGTAGTACTCCCAGCCATTTTTGCTATAGCCTCAACCAGCTAACCAGTTCTTGTTCACTGGAGTTAGCAATGCATCAGAATCAAATGGTTTCACAGCTTCTGAGGAAGCAGGCTTCCTCTGGGAACTGCCCACATGTGAAATTTTATGTGAAGGCAGTGGAGGGAGAGAGATGTTTCAAATTCTCAAGAACTCCCTGAAGCACCAACAGTACCAGGGTGATACCTTAGACAAGCCCTCTGTCTTGGAAGCAGAACTTTCTACTTTATTCTGCAGCATTTGTAGGAATATGTTGAGGAAAAGCATAGATAAATTACATTTAACATGCAGATTAAATAATTTTTTAAAAAGTCTGAAAGGGACCCGAAGAGGTTATCTTCAAGTCACTTTCAAGAATGCCGCTGTTGTAGTAGATGTCTGTCTGACTTGTTCTTGAAGACCTTCCATCAGCCAACTTCATTGTCTGCCATTCCTTAATATATTCAACTTACTATTATGCTGAAGTTCAATTCTATGGAATAGAACTGTACGTTGTTTGTCAAGTCATAGTATCACCACCATTATGGAAGCTGTGGCTAGGTTTCGTCAGCTTCTGAATAAAATTACTGTTGCTGGGAGAGTTGTGTTGCATTGCATACCCTATACCTAAATCTTGTGCCTCTCAGGGGCTTGAATGTATATAAAATCATATAAATATGCTCCTTCTGAAAATCCGAATGATCTTACTAGC